CAGCTGCTCCCTCTCTCCGTGTCCCCATCTATGTCTCCATCTCTGGTATTGCTGCCTCTCTGGATAAGGTCCCACATTCTGCTTGTGATCTTCTGGGGGGGGGGGGGGGGGAGAGTGCAGCACTCTTTTTCCCAGAAGACACCAGACTGATTTTTCAGGCAGCCAAAACAAGATAAAATGGTAACATTTGGCTTATCCCAAAAGACCTCAGCTGCATTTCTAAGTTTGGGGAGGCAAGCTCTGTAGTCCAGGCCCCTCCTGAACTGGCCAGCAGAGTGTGATATGAGAATCAGCAGAAACACAAACCTTAACCTGTGGTCTTGGCTTCCCTCGTTCCCCTCAGATGCTGTGCCGGCAGCTGACCTGAAGCCTCCATCCCTGAAGCCACGGAAAGTGTGGATCATCTACTCAGCTGACCATCCCCTCTACGTGGATGTGGTCCTAAAGTTCGCCCAGTTCCTGCTCACTGTCTGTGGCACCGAGGTGGCCCTTGATCTGCTGGAGGAACAGGTTATCTCCGAGGTGGGAATCATGACCTGGGTGAGCCGTCAGAAGCAGGAAATGGTTGAAAGTAACTCCAAAATCATCATCCTGTGCTCGCGAGGCACCAGGGCCAAGTGGCATGCCATCCTTGGCTGGGAGGAGCCTGCCATCCAGCTGCGGTGTGACCGCTGCAAGCCTGCTGGGGACCTTTTCACGGCAGCCCTGAACATAATCCTTCCAGACTTCAGGAAGCCAGCCTGCTTTGGCACTTATATCGTCTGCTACTTTAGTGGCATCAGCAACGAGGGTGATATCCCCGACCTCTTCAACATCACTTCCAGGTACCCACTCATGGACAAATTTGAGGAGGTGTACTTCCGCATTCAGGACCTGGAGATGTTTGAACCCGGCCAGATGCACCGTGTTGGGGAGCTCACAGGGGAAAACTACCTGCAGAGTCCTAGCGGCTGGCAGCTCAAGAAAGCCATGGAGAGATTCCAGGAGCATCAGAGTCAGTACCCTGATTGGTTTGAGCTGGAGAACCTCTGTTCAGCTGATGACCAGGACCTGCCGTCCCTGGATGAAGAGGTGTTTGAGGAGCCGCTGCTGTTATCAGAAAGAGGGATCGTGAAGCAAAAGCCCCTCATGCGGGAGCCTGCCTCCAAGGACTGTCTGGTGATGGATCTGCTCATTGACAAAGAAGAAAGAAGAGTCTCGAGGCTAGAACCTCAGATGCAACTCCAGGGAGAGCTGGCATCCCAGACCCTTCAAACGATGGTGCTCCCTGTGGAGAGGGTCCCTCCCGCCCAAGCAGTGCAGCCCACGCCTCTCCCTGATGGGAGCAGCACAGCCAGCCGGCTGGACATGGTGGAGGAAGGTGAGGCCTACCCATTGTTGGAGGCCCCTGGCCCACAGCGAAACAATGTCCTTTTCCTCCCTGTGGATGCAGAGGCCTCTCCTCTCTGCAGCACTCCAATGGTGTCACCCAACCACCTCCCAGATGAGGTAAGGGAGCAGCTTGAGGGCTTGATGTTCTCCCTTTTTGAGCAAAGCCTGAGTGGTCAGATCCAGGAGGTCCTCAAAGACCCCCACACGCCCTATGAGGAGGAACAGAGGCAGTCAGTGCAATCCGACCAGGGCTATATCTCCAGGAGCTCCCCACAACCTCCTGATGGACTTACTGAAATGGAGGAAGAGGAGGAAGAGCAGAACATGGGAACAACAGCTGAACAGCTCTCTCCTGAGGACCTGGAGAACTTGAGGAGCCTCCAACAACAGCTCTTCTTCCAAGAGCTTCAGAAGAGCTCTGGCTGGGACAGTGTGGAACCGGAGAGGCTGCCTGAAGAATGGCAGGCATCCTTGTAGGTGTCTCCCAGGCCCCAAGCATTGAGAGAAGGCTGTGTGTGTGCCCAAGTGTACACAAGTGTATATATAGGTGTGTATGTTTATATGTCTGTGTGTGTGTGTATGTGAAGTGTACATCTTTGAAATACAAGGTGGCTTCAGAAAATTTGTGGGAAAATGGAATTAAAAGATAATGGATTTTTTTCCATAAACTTTTTAAAGCCCCATCTTATAAACATTTTGATTCTGAACACTGGGCACTCACCTTGCCTTTTTTATTTTAGTATGACCATCTGGTTAACTTCCATTCCCACATGGATCCAGAGCCCATTCCCAAAAGTTAATGGCAAAATGTCCTTAAGTTGTCATCATTAATTCATTCATTTACTTATTCATTCAACATTTAGTTGGTACCTGCTGTAGGCAGACATCTAGGATGCAAAGATAAATTGTGCACAGTGTGACTCCTGGCTCCAAGGAACTGACATGCATTGAGAGTGTGGCACTGTGAGATAATGCCCTGGACTGAAAGGTCATTTGAACTACAGGATCAGTGGTTCAAACTCACCAACCGTTCTTTGGAAACCCCATACAGGGTTGCTATGAGGCAGAACCGACTTGACGACTTTAAGGCACTTAACAACAACAGTATGTACCAGACATCTGGGATGAAAAGATAAATGGCACACACAAGGAGCCTAACGTAGTGAGAGAGACAAATTAGCAGATGATTATCATGAAAGGTACAAAGGCTGTAAGAAGGTGAGGCTTACCCACTGTTGGAGACCCCTGGCCCAAAGCCAAAATGCAACCAAACCAGTTGCTGTAGAGTTGACTCCAACTCATGGAAACGCTATACATTGTAGAGCAGAATAGGGTTTTTGTGGTTGTTATCTTTCAAAAACAGATCATACATAGGGTTGCTAACTATGGAATAGTGCTGTCCATTGCCTATGTCGGAGTCTTTAACTCAGTTTGTGCTCCGGCAGAAGGACATGATTCTAAAATTGGGGGGGGGGGGGGGGCGGGGGTGTGTGTGTGCATGCATATGAAAGATAGATTTTTAAATAATGAATAAATGTTTTAACTCTGATAAAATATTCTAGTGGTTAATTTGAATCTTCTATTACTATAGGTCAAGATGTTCCTAGTTGGAGTTCTCTAAGCAGTGGGTCCACCAAGGTTCTAAGTCCCAATCTGCGTGTGTCCCTTATTCCGCCCAATAGCAACAAAGGACAGGTGACAGAGGAAGGGAACTGAGTGCTCTCAGCCATCAGTCTCTTGGGCTCCATCTCTTCCCCAGTAATCCTGGAGGTGGGCATCTTTAGGTTCAGATGCCTACCAAGTTTTTGGTGATTTCTCCAGCTACCAGTAAGCACCTACTAAATGTCCAGAGTGCAGAATACCTTGATGGACTCTCCTTGTTAGAGCCAGGGTTCTGCCTCGCAGCAAAACGACCCCAAAGCACTATAGTCATAGTTGTCCTGAAGCACATTTTCCATTTCTCCCACAACTTGAATTCTATCTAGCTTTGCTGGCCTTTTAGACCATACCAATAAAGGTCTTCCTTCAGTGGGCATTGCCTACCATGCCTCCTTGTCTCCATGACTGATGCTGCTTTTTCCTTTTAACAGCAGCTGCTTCACAGGAGAAAGATGACCCTGCCTGCTTCTGTAAAGATCAACAGTCTGTGAAAACTTGTACAGGGTCACTGTAAGGAAAAGAAAGAAAGAGAGAGACAAAGGAGAGAGTCTTGGCTTCAACAGCAGGCAGGTTTATTGAGAGTAAACCAGGGAGGGGGTACTCTTAAGTCACCAAAGGAGACCAAGAGCCATCTGTTCTCTTCCAGACTGGGCTATTTAAAGGCGGTGTGATCTGGGTACAGGTCTGGCAAGTTTGCAATGGGCGGGGGTATGGAGATTTTCCTGAAACCTGGAATTAGGGGGTGGGAGGTGTGGAGGGGTGGCTGGGAGGGTCTCCAGGTGGAATAAAGACCCAAGCTTTCCGGAGACCAGAAACTCAAGCAGGACCCCATTCAGTGCCAATTGGGGGTAGTTGCAATGCCAGTCCACTGATCAGGGGCAAGGTCCTTCAGTCACTGTGAGTGGGAATCGACTCACTGGCAGTGGGCTTTACTGAGATGTATTTCATATATTATACAATTCGCCCATTTAAAGTGTATGATTCAATGGCTTTGAGTATATTCACAGTGTTGTGCAAACATCACCACAACTAATTTTGGAATATATTACCCACAAGAGACACCCAGCACCCTTTAGTCATCACCTCCCCTACATCCCCACTTGGTTCTCAGCCCTAGGCAACCACTAACCTACTTTCTTTCTATAGGTTTGCCAGTTCTGGGCATTTCATATAATAGAATCATACCATTCACCGGGTTCCTCACACCTTCTTGTTGTCATGGCATTCCCTATTCTTCTGCATATCTCCTCTCCCCTTTCCCCACAGCCCTCAGTCTCACACTGGTCTTTGCTTACCCGACGTGCTGGAAATTTTGTCCACCTGAGTGTGATGGCCAACTACTAAAAGCTACAAGATCATGTGTATCAAAGCCATACTTTTCTTTTGGAATCCTTCTGAACCAGAGCTAATAAAATTCTGTTTCACCCAGAAGAGTGTGTGTAAGAGCACATGCCCTCCACACTGTGGTTTTCCCATATCTCTGGTCCCTCTCCTAAATAGAGTGCAGCAAACTTGGTTCATGGTGGGCGGAAGGCACTGCAGTCAATGAGTGGCCAACGGGCCCCCAACTGGAGCATGCACACCACAAGACAAGCTTCCGACTCGGGTGTGAATTTTCATAACTTTCTCTTGCCTACTGTCTTAATCCTAGTCAAACACAGACACACACGCAGAAATAATTCCATTCCATGTGCCATGGTGATCTGGACGTTGCTTGATGTTTTACAACTGCCTACAACTTTCATTCCGATGCAGTTTATCTTGTCTGTATAGGAAGGTCCTCAGAGGTGTTCCAATTTTAAGAGGGTTTGTTCAGTTACTCAGCACCTAATAAGCTTATTGAACTGAGATGCCAGGGCATGGTGAATTTTATGTATTTCTTGTTTATCTTTTTTAAATTAAGTAGGGGGTAAGGAAGAAAACATACAATGCAATGGCAGGATGGGGGTGGGGGTGGGGAATTCATCCTATAGCATTTCGACACTGCAGTTGGTGTTCTACCTTCCCAAATAAACAAGGTGCATGCCAAGCCCTGTTCCACCCTACCCTTCCTGAAAAAACCTGCCAGGTAAGGACTGTAAGCCAAGGTGGGCACCAGGCCATGCAGGGAACGAAAGGGCCCAAGAGGGCTTTATTTTGGGGTGCCACTGTGTTCTTTTTCAGCTCAAAGAGGACCCCATGTTGAAGAGTAGAATTGCTGAATAATTGACTAATTTTTATAGAAGCAGATCACCAGGTCTTTCCATTAGCTGAATGCTTAATATTTTGTGCCACCAGGTCTCCTTGATCTCAGAGTTAAATGCAGAGCTGCAATCCAGCCTGGTTTGTCTCACAACTCATGTATGTTGGAGAAGTTCACTATAAAGAATTGGAAAACAGTAAACAGGGGGCTGGGGTACTGGCTCTACTTAGCAGCCAAGTGGCTCTAACCAAGTTGTCTTCTGTAGCTCTCAGTTTCCACATCTGTAAAGTGGGCACAGTAATAATTACTACTTTATAGGGATACTATGAGGAATGGATGAAATATCGGCATACAGCCCTGAGATGGTGCCCTGTACCCAAGTGGTGGTGATGGTAGTGTGCCATGGAGTCGGTTCCAACTCACAGTGACCCTGTATAGGGTTTCCAAGGCTGTAAATCTTTACGGGAACAGAAAGCCTCATGTTTCTCTTGCAGAACGGCTGGTAGTTTCAAACTAGCTAACCTTGAGGTTAGCAGCCTAACTTGTAATCACTACGCTATCAGAGCATCTTCTGTGCCCAAGTAGCCCTCAATAAATGGAGCCATCAATAGGTGTTGCCTCCCCTGCAGCCTTGTGCCTCTCATAAGAAGTCTTGTGGTTTCCTCTGGTCTCAGTGCCTCTTTGCAAGAAAGGAGCTCCACAGCCTGATCTGGGTCAGAGCAGTTGATGAGCCTAGGGCACTGTTTATCTAGCCTCTTTTCCTGCTGGCATTGCTCTATCTCTTTAGTATTTGCTGTAATGTAGTGTTGGCTGAGTAAATAGGCTTGTCTTGGGAAAACTGAGACAGGATAGGTTCCAAAGATTATATACTGTAGAAGAATAACTACAGAAGCAGCCACCACCTGCTCCATCCTATGGGTATCAGCTGTTAAGCTGGTGTGCCTCTACTGCTTTCTACCAGAGTGGATGTTGGTGGATATCTTCTGCCCACAGGGGGCCTCCACGTCTCTCTTCTAGAGTCTGACCTCACCTCAGCTCTCCATGCCCCACTCACTACCTCTCCAGGACCTGGTACTGACTCCACATTCTCAGCACTCATTCATTTCAGTTGATTAAGGCAGCAGGGTCACCCTGTTGGGCTGGCCTTGCTCCTTAGAGGAACATGGACTCCCCTTTCCCTGTAGAGTGCAGTTCGGTTCTGAAACACTTGGGGCTTCCATGAGTCAGAATTGATGGCAACTAGTTTTGATTTTTTGAGAACTCTTGCTCAGACATGCCTCCCCCACACTGGTACTCTAGATTCCTTTCCTAGGAGTAGCCCCCTAGGTAATTATGACCTTAGTATGAATTATTTCCATTCCTGGGTGGTGTGAATGATTAACATGCTTGCTGCTAATTAGTAGGTTAGAGGTTCAAGTCCACCCAAAACACCTCAGAAGGAAAGCTTGGCAATCTACTTCCAAAAAATCAGCCATTGAAAATCCTTTGGAGCACAGCACTACTCTGACACACATGGGGTCCATAAACTGAACTGGTTTATGAATTACCTTACTGGTTTCTTCATTATAACTTGAAAGAAAAAAGACACACAGTGGTCTGAGAGGAGGAAGAGACAGAGCAGAAAACCACGGACAAG